AGATTTAAACAATTGACCCGCGTACCAAAAAAAAAAAAAAAAAAAAAAAAAAAAAAACTAATTAATTTCTTTACAAGCAAACACCAATTTTCAAATATACCATTGAATTACTGATAAATATATATATATATATATTGAATTACAAATTCATAACAAAAATGTTTGAAATCTCAAAAATTTTAACAAAATTTTTATCAAATGTCTTGGGTGTAAGGCCCACATAAAACTCATACATTTTACACTTATATAAGATATTTAATAAAAATTTTAATAACATTACTCAATTCATAAGCTTCCATACTAGAGCCATTTCCTGCTTTGCCAGTTCAATAGTTTTTATTTATTTATTTATTTATTTTTGAATATATGCACACTCTTCTGTAGTGGTAATGTCGGTGACACCATTTTTAACAGCGTGCGCACGTGACACATGCATGCTCCGCTACTTTACATTTGTAACACACACACACACACACACACACACAAATGTGTGTTTACAGTGAGTGTGTCTAGTCTATCCAACTGTTCCCACCACTCTCTGCATCATGTTATCATGTTTCTCTGCACCTTTCCAGTAACCAATGTCACACCTTGTCTCTATTTCTAAAAAACATTACACATAACTTTAAAGTTGACTCTTTGGTCCTCAAAATCATAAAAACCAAATAATATATTCATTCAGTTTGGCACAATTTTAGGCGCCCTTTGTTTGGGTTATAAAAAAGAGAATTGAGACTATTAATATTGAAAAATGATGCAGATCATTAATTAGTGGTTGTATTAGGGATGTGGCAGTGGGTCCTATTCACTGTCACATGTATTTTGTGTCTTAGTTTTTATTTTTTTTAATTTTTTTTATTTGTCATATCATTAGTGGTGGTGTTAGTGGTAGAAATTTAATGGTATGTAGCATTGTTGATTAATATTTTAATATTACTGATATCTTGTTTATTTTTAGAAATGGTCTTGCGACTACTAATACCCTTGGAAGGATAATTCATAATGAGGAGGTAGAGATGGTATTAGAAAAATAGTGAGGGGATTAGAAATTTTTTTATCTTTTTTATTTTTTATATATTGGAATTTTTTTTAAAAATATTAATGTTTAATTTTTTATATTTTTTATTTGTTTTATTATTTTATATAAAAATAATTTAACAATTCCCCACTATCAATCCCCTCACTATCAATCCCCTCCAATTATTATCTCCTGAAAACAAAACGGACTTAAGAGGCAAATGTGTGTCAAAAATATATTAGAATATATATATATATATATATATAATAATTACATTATAAATTTAAACTTAATTATTCAAAAATTATTTAAAATTATTATATTATAATTCAAATTTCGGCCTCATTTGAGAACCTTCCTTTTTAGCTAAAAAGTCAAAAAATTACTAAATTAGCCAAAAACTCATATCAAAAAGTCAAAAATTCTTTTTTCTCTTTACTTTTTGCACATCTTTTCATAAAAAGTCAAAAATCATCCAAAATATACTATTTTTTTAACTCATATTTTAACCAAATAGTCAAAAAATTACTAAATTAACCTGTTCTCAAATAAGACCTTACTCTACAGATAAATTTTATACTATATAAATTCAATTTCAATTATATAACTCCATTCAAGATACACCTAGAATTTGTAAATAAGGTTCATAACATTTTCTATATAAAAAAGTAGTATAAAATATAAATGAGAAATTACAAGACAATGAAAAATGAAGAAAATATTTACTAAAAGGTTGGAGGGGTAATTTTTGTTATATTTTGTGTATTTGTAATTTTTTTTATTTTTTTTATCTTTTATACTAAATTGTAATTTTTCTGAATATAAATTTTTTTAGGAAGAATAACACTGTAGTGGTGTCAGTATAATTTAATTATATATTAGGGTGAATTATATCAATGATCTCTATAGTTTGGGGCTTGTATCACTTTGGTCCTTAACTTTTTAATTGTGACACATTTGATCTAAAATTTTGAATCTTGTTTCAAATAAGGACAATTGAAAATACCTTTACTTAATTTTTAAGGGCAAAATAATCAATTTGATAAAATATAAACTAATAATTAGTTTATATTTTATCAAATTGACAATTGCGTCTCTAAAATTAAGTAATGGTATATTCAACTGTCTTTATTTAGAACAAGATCAAAATTCAGGTCAAATGTGTCACAATTGAAAAGTCAAGAACCAAAATGACAGGAACCCCAAACTATAAGAACTGCTAGTATAATTCACTCTTATATATTAATGAAAAAGTTTATTGTTTTAATTATTAATATTTGTATTTTTTTTTTTTGTAATTATATTTTTTTGACCTCACTGTCAGTTTTTTCCTCAACTTTGGTCTAATTTTTAGGTGGGATCCATGCGCCAAAGTTGGCAGATCTAAGTGGTAACACGTTTTATGTCGCGTTGTGATTCACGTGGTATATTTGATTGCTCAAAATCATTATCGGGTGGATAGGAAATTGAAGCTAAAGTGAACTCCACGAAAATGGAGTTTTTGATGAAATTTCCATAAAGATTTGAGTTAAAGCTTGTCCCATATTGGTTTGGTGAACAAACTTTTGTGGGTTGATAAGGCTTGGATGTACAACTTGGAGAGGATCCCAAGAGGTACCCAAGTTGTGGAAGGGTGAGGTTATGGGTAAAGTAGGCTTGATCCATTGAACCCAAAATAAACACACGCGTTTGTCATCGTCCGATCGAGCTAGGCTTGGGCACGTGGTGTGAGGTTTGGGTTGGGCTTGTTCGGCCCAATACTTATTCTTTTTGGACTAAAAACATTTGAATTTATTTTTTAATTTTTGGAAAATAAATTCTGACTGTAAAAATTCAAATTTCGGTTGGAAAATTTGCACCTTTCTGTACAGATTTCATATATGTCCGAACAGATTCAGTTCAAAACACTTACTTGTTTAATTTAAACTCAAACAGATTTGCATCTATTTAATTTAAATCGAACAGGTATTGTACCTGTTGAATTCAAATCTAAAAGCTACCATTGCACCTATAAATAGGCAAGTCCCTTATTTAGTTTTTTCACTCGATTTTTCGTCCTCAAATCTGCTATTGTTCTCTGCATTTTGCTACATTTAATTTTCTGTGAAAAAGAGTGTAAACACAAAGTGTGTTCGTTGTGCAAATAATTTGTAGTGCTACTATTATTCGTTGTCGATTATTTTATCTTGGGAGACAGACGTCCATAATCTAAAAGTACCATGGAGGTGACGAATCTGTCTTAAAGACACAGTGTTAAACACTGGATTTGATCAAATTTTTGTTCGAGAAATTAATAAGGTAAGTAATTAATTTACTTTCTATTTTATTATTTTTCTATTTCAGATTTTGATTTTGTTTTTGTAACAAAATAAAAATCTGTTTATTTATTTATTTATTTTATATTTTGGTTTGATTTTTGTAATTAAACAATTTCTATCCTTTTCTTTATTTCTTCCGTGTTCTATTTGTTGTTAAGTACACAAACAGAATTTATTCGTAATAAAGTGAAGATTAGCCAACAATCTTAAGACAGATTATTTTTTGGTATCTTCATTGTATTTATTTTCTGTGTTTTTTACAAAGTGATATTTTTGTTGGAAAATACAAATAATAGTCATATACTGTTTATTTTCTTTGACAAGTATACTAGTGTCATTAATAATTTCTGAATATTAATTTGTATTGTAGTGTTACAAAAAATTATTGTGTAGTATTTTATTTCCTGATTTTATAGAAAAATAAATTATTTTGTATTATAATTTATTTTCTGATTTGAATAACTACAAAATTAATTTGTGTTTTGGTTTTTCTAATTTTTGGAATTAGATATTATGGCTGCTAATCTAATTGTTACAACGACTCCATATGTTCAAGTTTTTTAAAAAAATTTAATAGTATCGAATTTAAGAAATGACAAAAAAAAATATTATTTTATCTTACAATTTTAAATCTAGTCTAATTTATTCGCGAAGAGTCTCTAGTACTTTAGGCCCACAAGCCACCATAAATCATATTAATCCTTAAATAAATTAAGAGACTCCCGATTTCTCTCTTTATTCTTAGAGCAATGGTAGAGGGCCACAAAAACAGTGGCTCAAATGGCTCAAAACTGTCAAAACGACGTCGTTTTGGGATCAAAACCTGCCAAAACGACGTCGTTTTGACTATTTTGAGCCATTTGAGCCACTGTTTTTGTGGCCCTCACACATTTTTCTTATTCTTATTGATTAAAATAGTGTAATCCTCCACTTCAAATGGAAAAACAAATTTTGTTCACACGCTTATTTTGTCAACAGAATTAAAAGTTAATTTTTTAATTTTTTAGATCACGTTACTATTCTAATTTTTTACATACTTTTTATAAAAAATTAAAAAATAAAAATTAACTTTTACCTGACTTTTCAAAATAGACCTTTGTCAAGCGTTTGAATATTACAAAACACTTCTCACGAAACAGAGGAATGGACCCCATTTACACTTTATCCTTTTAAATGAGATTCATTATATTATTTTAATCAATTTTAAAATGCGGTTTGTTAATTTTCAAACAAAGGCAGAACAGGAATCATAAAAAAAATTAAAAACAAAAGAAAAAAAAAAAGAAGAAAGAGAGAAAATAAAACATCATCTTAACAACTTCACAACAATAAAAGTGATTAAGAAGATTCACAAAGTGATAAAAAGACAGACATCCCATTCCAACATAGGACCACCAACTTCCCCCACATTTCAGAACATTGTCAAAACTCACTCACTTTTAGCTGACTTTTCAAAATAGACCTTTGTCAAGCGTTTGAATATTACAAAACACTTCTCACGAAACAGAGGAATGGACCCCATTTACACTTTATCCTTTTAAATGAGATTCATTATATTATTTTAATCAATTTTAAAATGCGGTTAGTTAATTTTCAAACAAAGGCAGAACAGGAATCATAAAAAAAATTAAAAACAAAAGGAAAAAAAAAGAAGAAGAAAGAGAGAAAATAAAACATCATCTTAACAACTTCACAACAATAAAAGTGATTAAGAAGATTCACAAAGTGATAAAAAGACAGACATCCCATTCCAACATAGGACCACCAACTTCCCCCACATTTCAGAACATTGTCAAAACTCACTCACTTTTACTCCACTAAACTACGAAATTGCAAGTTAGGACCTCTCTCTCTCTCTCTCTCTGCCATATTTTCCACTACATGATTGAACAGCTACTTGTGTTCTCATCACTGAACATATGGGTCGCAGAGTGATCATTGCTGGGGTTGGGCTCACTGTAGTAGGTGTATGGGAGGACTGGGCTATAATTATTATTATAGTAATAACCAGTGCTAGGTGGAATGTAAGGAGACCTTTGGTACATCATCTGTGGCTGTGGCTGGGGCTGCTGTTGCTGCAAGGCATGCCTGTTCTGCAGGTTCATCATCACTGATGAGGATGGGTAGTTGTTGTACTGTTGATGATACCCATTATTCATGTTCATCACCATGGATGCTGCTGATGGATGATGCTGATGACCAGTAGCTAAACCAGAAGACCCTTGGAGTGGGAACCCATTGCTTGGCTGCTGGACTTGATGAAACCCTCCCCCCAATCCTAAACCACCAGTGGAATTGTTTCCTAAAGCAGCTGCAACAGCAGAAGCAGAAGCAGAAGCAGAAGCAGAAGCATTATTAGCTCCATTTCCATGAAAACCAGCAAGACCCATCATGGCATTGATGTCATTAGCCCTTTTTGAGGCCTCCCCAGGAAGCATAACATTGTTCATTTTCATTGCTGCCATTGTTTTCTGATCAATCCCAACTGGGTTGTTGGCCTTCATGCCCATGTTCTGATGATTTGGGTTCCCTTGCTTCCCAACATTCAAATTTCCAACATTGTTGGAAGCTGAAGCAATGGGCCCACCAACAAGGCCCCCTCCTTTCTTAATAGCATTATTTGCAGCCATGGCTTGTTGTTGTTGTTGTTGTTGCGGCTGCCTGAGCAGATTCAGTTGGTTTGCTTTTTCTCTGAGGAATTGTAGCTCATCATCTTCATCAAATTCTTCATCATCTAAGTAATCATCATCATCATCTTCTGAGCAGAATGCAGCGGGGAACTTGTGTTGCTGGTTCTTGAAGGCTTCAAGGCCCTTTGCCAAACCTTGCTGTTTTTGGCCTTTGTTGTTGTTTTTGTTGTCATCTTTGGCCTTCTGTTTTTGGTTTTGGTTTTGGTTGGTTTTCTGAGACCAGAGCTCAGCATGCTTGCCTGCTTTGATCAGTTTCTTGATCAAAGTCGCAGAATCTACACTTCCTGAAACTGTGACTTTCTGTTGCTCTGCATCTAAATCCACTTGGTAAACACCTATCACAAATTGGGGAAACAACAAAAAAAAGAAGTCATGAGTGCACATAAAAAAGTACAAAAATTTTGGCAAAAAAAAAAAACAAAAGGTCAAATTTTAGACTTCAATTAGTGAGTGATTGTCCACAACATGGTTTTCATCTTTCCAATCTGTGGCTTAAAAGGGGACTGCACTTCTATCTTATATCATAGCAAAATCAAATAATTAAGCAAAAGAATTTGAATGCCCTAACCATAGCACATTGTTAAAATTTATCCACTTCACACAAAACCCACATCATTGAGGTCCAGAGTAAGGATTATCAGTGGACAAATTAACCAAAACACCACTCTTCAAACACAGTTAAAGAGCTGAAAAACAGAGAGAACTAGTAATGGGGAAAAAATAAAGTAGAAAACAGAGAAGGGAGAGTTAGCTAAGCAATTCATGGTCAAGTGAAAACCTTCAATCCTCTGAAGAAGTTTCTTCACTTTCTGCCTACACCCATCACAGTGTATGTTCACTTTGAGCACACAAGTCTGTAAAAAGACAAAAAAAAAAATATAAGGAAACAAAAGCAAACAACAAGAAAACAGAGATTGTGACGAAAAGACCAACACCCAACTTTCCTCTAATCTTTGTACGAAAAATGCATGAGAGGAGAGGAGGCTTAAAGATAGAGAGACAAGAATGTGTTTTTAGAGAGAAAAACCTGGATCTTGAGAAGCTTAAAGTCTTCATCTTTAGTCATTTCTTCAGTGTTTTTTGGAATGAAAGATCTCTTTCTCTCTCTCACACTCACTTCCGTTCTGCTACAAAAGGAAAAAAATAAAAAGAACCCACCTAAGCTAGTGGGGGTAAAGAGGCTGTTGCTGATGCATGTGAGTTCCTATCTCTATTCTCTCTTTCTCTCTCTCTCTTCTAGCTTTCACCTCTTCTTTGTTCTTGAGTTTTACTGCTTGGAAACAAGCAGAGGAAAAGCACATAGGTTTTCAGGTTAAATGAGAACAATGCAAATACATATAGACAAGGGGAAGAAAATCAACATACAGAAAAAGAGAAGATACAGAGAGAGAAATTCAAGTCAGAGGGTGAGAGAGAGAAAGAGAGAGAGAGAGTAAAAAGTGAGAGAGAGAGAGAGAGAGAGAGAGGGGTGCTCCAAATTCTGAGATGAAATGATGTGATATAACGTTAAATACTGGCGGAAGGAATCCCGCTACAGACCCTCCACGACCCCCACAATCCTCAGGCCCAGTTGGTTTTGTAGTTAAATAGGTGGGAAGGGATTAAATGGAGGTGGGTTATTTTTAGTGTTATGTTTATTTATAGAGTTTGAGTGGGGATTAGGATGGAAGAGGTGATATAGATGGAGGTTAGAAGGAGGATTGAGATGGAGGAGGTGGAGATCGTATTAGAAAAATAGCGAGGGGATTAAAAAAATATTGTTTTTTTTTTATTTTTTATATATTAGGAATTTTTTTAAAATATTAATGTTTAATTTTTTTATATTTTTTTTATTTGTTTTATTATTTTATATAAAAATAATTTAACAATTCTTACACTAACAACTATCATTAAAACAAACACAATTTTACTTAATCCCATCATTATGAATTTTCTCACTATTCTACCTCTGAAAACAAACGCACAGATTTGAGAGAGAGGAGAGGAAAAAATATATATACTCCCTCTGACTTAAAATATTAATTTCTTATTTTATTTTTTATTATCCCAAAATATTAGTTCATCTTCAAAAATTAAGTACAAAAATAATATAAATTTCTTATTTTTCCATTCTTTTAAATTCATAAACAATATAAAAAGTACAATTATGACATTGATATTCCAAAAAAAATGTACTATCAAATGATAATTTTAGAAAATCAATTTTTTTTAAAGTACAATAATTGTACTATAAAAAAAAGTTAAATTCTCCAAAATGGACAATTATTTTGGAACGAAGGAAGTATATATTTTTGAATTTTTTTTTTTATATAACGTTTGGTAGAGTTTTTTAAATATAATTTAAGAGTAAAAGTTATATTTTGAGTTTGTCAGTTTTGAAATTATGAATTGAGTGTAAAAAATTTGTTTGGTGAAATAGTTTTAAATTGAGTGAAGAATTTTTTATGTAGCATATGATATTTGATACAAAAACTTATAACTCATAACCAAACACACAACTCAAAATTCTATTAAAGTTCATAAATTTTTTTTAAAATTTTGAAAAATATTTTTTTCGAATATATAAAAATTAACATGTCTCAATTGCAATAAATAAATAAATAAATAATAAAATTTTTGCACTGTTCCGGTCAACCGACCGGACGTCCGGTTAGCTCAAATTTTCTCGCCTTCGACCGAGTTTTCAAAAGTAAGTATGGAATAAATTTTTGAAGTCCTAAACAAACATGATGTGCAAAATAAGCTTTGGAACGTTAGTTCCAAACTGTACCAAATGGAGCCTTACTTTTTTTATACAAAAAAAGTCACAAAAAGTCAATTTTTTAGCTAAAAAAATCACTAAAAAAGTCAAAAAACTAAAAAGTTAACTTTTTACTAACTTCCCATAACACTCTTGAAAAGAATGTTTAGGAGACCTCTTGATTTAAGGGTGGATTTTATTATGTGATGTATTAGTTTGGTTTGTATTTCTATTTCTATTTTTATTTTTATTTTATTTATTTTTATTTATTTTGTTTTACTACATCACTAGAATTCATATTAGAGTTCTTGTTTTAGACCTCTTAATCACTTCTCTTTTTAAAAAGTATAAATACACCCAACGAAGGAAAGTGAAATAGTTTTAAATTGAGTGAAGAATTTTTTATGTAACATATGATATTTGATACAAAAACTTATAACTCATAACCAAACACATAACTCAAAATTCTATTAAAGTTCATAAATTTTTTTTAAAATTTTGAAAAATATTTTTTTCGAATATATAAAAATTAACATGTCTCAATTGCAAAAAATAAATAAATAAATAATAAAATTTTTGCACTGTTCCGGTCAACCGACCGGACGTCCGGTTAGCTCAAATTTTCTCGCCTTCGACCGAGTTTTCAAAAGTAAGTATAAAATTAATTTTTGAAACTCGTAAATAAACATCACGTGCAAAATAGGCCTTGGAACTAACGTTCCAAAGTTGTACCAAATAGAGCCCTTTTTTTTTCTTTTTTTTTGTCTCCATACTTTTTTTTTTTAATTTTAACTATTGATGTATATGTGTGATCTACACAATCAATATTTGAAATCCAAAAGGAGTTGTGAGGCCCAAAAAAAAGGAGGTCTCAATCATTGTTGAAAAAAATGTGTAAATTATAAATACAACCTTTAAAATTTGCTTAAAATACAGATTGCCTCTTGTGGTTTGAAAATTATAAATACTCATTTGTTAGAATTTTTCATTTAACAGAATTAACTAAAAAAGAAAATTCATAATTACTGTCTTATATAATAATAAAATTACCTAAATTATTAATTGAAACAAAATCATTAAAAACTGTTAATTGATTTGATGATTTATTAATGAAATGAGCAATTTGTTATAAAATTAAAAACCTCAAAGAGTGGAATATAATTTTCAAAACTGTAGAGAACAATTCGTATTTAAATTAAACCTTAAGAGATACATTTGTAATTTATCCAAAAAAATTAGGTGTCATGAGAGTCGCAAAAATTGAACGTCTCAAGCATTTTTACAATAATAAGTGTGACACAAAATCCATCACAAAATTAACTAAATAAATTTTTTTTTGATAATACATATTTACAGTTACTTTTGATATGATTTATAAGTTAAGTTTTTTTATTTATTATAGAAAGACGTGTAAAAAATAGAAAATGATATGACTCAAAGGTTGTGTTTGTTTGGTTTTTTTTTGGAGAGGGAGTTTAGATTAATAGTATGTGAGATCTAGTTATAGAGTGTTTGGTTAGAGTCATGAGTGGGGGATTAACTATTTCCTTGGATGAGTAATCCCCCTATTGGTAAGACTATCAATCTCATGATGAGGTTGAGATTAGAAATTAAGTGAGAGAATTAATGAATTTTTAAATAATTTTTATGCAAATATATTTTTTAGAACAAAAAAATAATTATAATATTAAAAATTAAAATATATTATTTTTATATATTAATATTATCTATAGTAATACTAATCCGATAGTGTACAAACGAATACTCTTTATCTTACGTCTATGTCACGATCCAAACCTGTGACGCCCCAATTTTTTTTTTGGACATCATAATAAGATTTAGGACTTAAAATCAATGTTGCCATCAAGCATCACTAATATCCATTAATTAACAACCCAAAAATTTTCAAATTTTCAAATTACAATTCTAATAGAACTTAAAACTTGGTCTCGGTACACAAAAAGAAATTTAAAACCACTGCGAAAGAAAAGATAGAGAAATATAGGAAATGGTTTGTGGAATTTGGGGACTCTTCAAGCTAACCAAGGCTGAATGTCACCTTGCACGGCCTCGGTGTTTCCTTCGTTTTCTTCGGTACCTGGCATAAAACGCCAGGGCAACAAGAATGCCATTGAGCGACGAGCTGAGTAATATACTACAACCCGAAAATACCCACCCCGATAATAATACTCATAAATAATAAATATCGTATAATAACAGAATAATAAGCAGCATTTAATAAGCGTAACAGAAATGCTAATAGTTAAAATAATAACAATAGATAAATAAATAAAAATGACAAATGGAAATAGTGATTCATCATAAGGAAAATGCATGCTTTTCTTTCTAATTTCTCATAGATTCAGTTTATCAGATAAATTTAAGTAACTCTCCGCGGAGCAGTATTTCCACTCAACCGCTAAGCGATGGCCACGAGCAATTCTGACTCCCCCTTAGTCAAATATTCAAATGTTACTTACTGTAACTACCAATGATGCCCACGCACCAGGGTTACGTACCCGAATCGTGACATCACGGTCTGCCCCCAAGGGAACGGTCTACGTTGTGACACCCGCACCACCAACCTTATATCGCCTGTACCGATAAGAGCCGAAATACCTTCCCGTGCCATGTTAAGGTTCGCAACTCACTTGCGCAAAATTCTAAACCGGGCTCACCCCATCACTTTTAAATTTTAATGTATCTGTTCGATTCCGTGTCCCTTTACTTTGTCCAATTCACATTTTGATGCATGTACGAGTTTTAGTTTGAAAACTACAGTGACATAATGTTTATATAGCACAACACAATCGTGTATGGCAACCAAAATAAACATGATAGAATGTCTTAGGAATTATCACAAAATTTCTTAATGATTCACACACTACTTTTTTTTTCAGCACTGTATGAAAAATATAAAACCCATACCAAACGATGTTCAATCATTACGATATTTTAAATGGTGCTAATTCATTGAGTTAGGAAAATATTTCGAGAAGAATACCTGAGCTAAAAACGATTTTTAAAGGGAGAAATAAATTTTGGAAGAAAACTAGTTTTTCTGGGACAGTGAGTTACAGTACTTCCAGCACAGGTAATCTGTGTTGAAAAAAATAAAAGCCGCCTCAAACGGTGTCAAAAGAAGGTATGGTTAGAACAGAATGTTAGATACTTGAGTTTAGAACATGTTTCCAGAAGGATTCGAAGTCTGAAAATCGACAGAAGATAGTCAAATAATTTTTCTAAGAAAACTGGACAGATTCTATCACATTTTGGAAAAATTTGTGTTTCTCTCCCAATACTTAATAAAAATTTACGAAACCAGCGGCGTTTGAAAGGCAACTTAAAAATATAACTTTTCCAGTTTGAACCACTTGAAAATTTTATTCTGTGGAATAAACGGTGACCTGGTAAAGTCAGCATTGCTGCTGCCTCCAAACAGCAATGAAATAAAAAAATATTCAGGCCATGAAAACGTTAGCACAGGTGTTCTGTGTTCGAAAAATAAAAAGGGTCCTCAAATGGTGTCGAAAAAAGGCATGGTCAGAACAGTTTGCTAAATTTTTGGGTTTAGAACATATTTTCAGAGGAGTATGAAGACTGAAAACCAATCGAAGGAGGTCAAATAATTTTTATAAGAAAACTGGACAGATTCTGTCACATTTTGGAAAATTTGGCGTTTCTCTCTCAATACTTAATAAAAAAATTATGAAACCAGTGGCGTTCGAAAGGTAACTTAAAAATCTAA